TTGATAGTGGCGTTTAATATTTATAATAGCCTAAGTGTTCTAATAAAATATATGTATAGATAGTTCCATGCAAACAGACAGCTGGAAAGTTAGGGTTAATAATCTCTAAAACAAAAAACATGAAAATAAAATGAATATTTGGGTATGAAAAAAATTTCGGCAAGATGAGTGCCATGTTTCCTCACCAAAAACTAAAGACCAGAAACGACAACGATTTCATCATTTCAAACGTTAGTTGGAAATGTTTATGCGCTATCTAGCTGACTGTGAGCGAATAGAGTCGAGTAGTAACAATTGATGAAACATTGATCCAATACTTCACACCTGAGGGAAAACAATAAGTCAGAGTATAGGTAGAGGCCGGGGGTGGTGCTCCCAAACGATCACGAATTTAACAATTCGTTGAAAAAGTTTTGTCTTCCATATTTTGCGATTCAATTTTCATAGACAATTTGAAAAAGAAAAAATAATAACATCAGACTACTATTACATATTATTGGATCGATGGAAGTTTTGTTTTGCGGGATAACACATCCGCTCACACCTCAGTGAAATGCATAACCAAATTAAGTGAATTACGGTACGAATTGCTTTCTCACCTACTGTATTCTTCAGATTTGGGTCCCTCATCCACCGTATTCTCCAGATTTGGCTCTTAGTGACTAATACCTGTTTCCAAACTTGAAAACATCGCTACAGGAAAAAAGATTTGCATCAAATGATGGAGTCGAATATGAAACAGGTATATTTTGAGAACTTGATAAATCATATTATTTAAAAGGTGTCCAAATATTGAAAGATCGTTTGACTCGCTGTGTCGAGCTAAGAGAGAGTTTAATATAGTCGCCATTTTTTCCAAAAAAAATTATTTTTTACTTCTTAAGCCGGGTATTTATCAATCCACCTAGTATATATTTGGTAGAAATATAAGGACAAAAAAAGATAACATGCAACAAAGGCACTTAATAAGGACAGAGCAGTTCTATGTCTGGAAGAAATCGAAACTGTTAAGTAAGCAGTCTTAGGTTATTTTAATGTTTAGAATAAATTTAAACTCATTTATCTTATCAATAGATCATCATTGGCACTGTAACCCTAATTTGCTTTTATATCAGTAAAAATTTTTTATTTATTTTATTGATAAAACCGTCTGAAACATTTTGCTTAAATTATTTTCACACATTCGGCTAGACTTCAAAACACGTTAGAAGATTTGATATCTAAGCCACTTAGAAATCCAAAAGAACTGCTGTGGGTTAGCTCGCCAACTCGTTGGAATACAAATGAGTAACTAGAAATTTTATTAAGCCAGACCAAATGGCTTTTTGCAGAATAACCCGCACACGTGTCTGACTAAATCATTATAGCCAAACAGTTTATAATTAAAATAAATAGAAAAATTATTATCGGTCATCACCGACTATAAAATACTACGTTAATAGGGTTATCATATATATATATATATATATATATATATATATATATAAATTACACTTAATTTGCGTTATTCAAATTCAAATAAAATAGTTTTTTAATTTTTGTTGTTTATTTATAACCAATCACTGCACTTAATGTGTTATTAATTAGAAGTAAGGCATAAACCACAGCTATATATAAATTAATGTAATCTTTGGAAATTGTTGGTTTTTCAAACTTAAACGTTATTATCAGAAAAAAGATTTTTATATATTTATATTAACCAGAGATTTTATTTTATTATAAATTTACTTTTTTTAACTAATTATACTTATGCTAATAATATTGGCTTCTTGTAAAATATTGCTGAAAAAAATATTAATGTAATTATATTCATATATTTTATTAAATATTAAATTATATTTTATTAAATATTAAATTATATTTTATTAATATTAATATTTTTATTAATACATATTTTAATTATAACATATATACTTATATTATATATATATATTTATATATTTATTTATTATTTATAATTATTTTTCAGATTTAATAAAATTTGTTTAATGCAATAAAATTAAAGAGAGAATAAAGAATATAAATTTATTTATACTTATAAAATTTATACGTTCTATATATTGTATTAGTAAAAGCATAAGCACATTTGTATTATTCTATACTGACTTATGTAGGGTAATTCCAACAATGTTCACATGTTCTGCACATGTAGGGTATCTTAAATGATAAACAATACACATATATATGTAAGATATACTTTAGAGGAAAATTTTAGGTAGCGAAATAGTAGCGTGTGTACATAACAAAAATAAAAAAATTACTGGGTTAATTTTTCAAGGGGGTTTTATAAATAATAATAATAATAAGTTTAAATAATAATATATGTTAGCTCAGTGCCTCTTCATTAAAATGAAAATACCTGTTTACTATCTAAATAAAAATAAGTATTTTAATAATATGTCCATATACCATATACTTTATAATTAATAATATAGACATATAAGAGAAATCATATATTATTATATTATATATTATTATTATTATTAAAGCTATTGTAAATATTTTAAATTAGTTTCATACGTGTATTCCAGGATTTTATTGCAGTGCAATTTAAAATACTTGATCATATATAATCTATATAGCATACCACAAAAAATTTAGTATCTGTAACAAATATAGAGCAGATCTGGTCTCTGCATATAATCAAGCATACATTCGAGTAGTCCTAGAGTATTATTATCATCTTTTAGATTTTTATGAGTCTCTCCATCATCACTGATTAAAATTGTTATTATTATTTCAATTATCAGCTCTAAATACTTTGAACTTATACGGTATAAGTTTGATTAATGTTGCTTATTGCTGGAACAATGAACAGATGGTCTTAAAACAGATGGTTTCACAATTTCTAGGTAATAGTAGTATTATAGCGTATATATGTATTTCAAAATATTGATATTTTAAACTTTTCGGTTGACTACGGTTGATTACGTTTTTCTTCTCTTTGCGTCTGCTTGGTTCTAGGCTTGTGTCTAAAGTAATGTAGGCATGCTTCATTAATGGTTCAATAAGTTTAAACAACGCTGAGAATTAATAAAGCACAATTACTTATCATTAAGTGACAGTGAAAGTGGTACACACTTTCTCCGTCATATTCATGCAAATATATCTCACATATTTTAATAACTTTTTTAAGTCATATCTATCTTTTAGCTTCAATTTAGAGTCTATTAAAGTAATTTATATGGACCAGACTATATAAGATGACTGATTATTGTAGATCAAAGTGTTTGGAAAACTTGTTCGATCAGTTTTTTCTTGCTCTTACGGTATTTCTAATTTTTCAACTTTAATATTAAATCAACATCTAAGAAAGTCCATTGTAGTTTATTAAATAATGATAGATATATCATCAAATTAAATATGACAAATGAGTTTCTTTTTAATTGCTTCAATCCAATAGTTGAGAGATACTATAATATAAAGCTCAATGTAATCTTTTGGGAGGTTTGTAATCTATTTAATGGGTTAGTATCATTGTAAAAGTTTGGTGTCTTATTCCTATATAATTCTTATACTTAGGGCATTCTAACAAAATCTGGAAATAGATAGTTTTGTACTGTTTTTATGTAAGGTGTGTTTTTTTTTTTAAACATCTTATTATATATAAATTATTTTTAGTAAATTAATGTTTTTTATTTAAAAAAATGTGTTTCAATTCTAAAAGCATCTGATAAAATAAAAAGCTGTGAATATTTAGAAAAAAATTTCTTACAAAATAATAGCAGACTTTAAAAATGTGATAATTGAAACTTAATAAACACTTAAAATCGAGTCGTCCAAATATAATCTCAGTTTACATGTCTTTCTTTACTGCAATTGGCTTTAGGGATATAATATGTATTCTGCACGATTCTATAAAGTTCTGTTCCAATGGGTAAAGAAATTTCGTGTCAAAATGGAATTAATTAGCTTAATTAGTTGGCTTAATAATGAAAAAAATATTAGCAACAAATTAATATATATATATATATGTTTTATAACTTGACCACAATATGAGTACTATATGTTTTGTCTGCTAAAATAATAAATAAAATTAATAATTAATTTTTAATTTGAAACAATGTTTTGATAATATTATCGATATGTATATCTAACTATAATACAATATCTAACTATTTTCATATATGAAATACAACAACCTTGATGATACAGCACAAATTAATATGCCAACGAATTGTAGGTAGGGTGTACGATACATTATTTATTCTAATAGCTGTGATTACTCTTTCATGTTAGCGTACAAAATATCAGTAACAATGCAGATATATTTTAATAAAATGCATTTATTTTTGATATACCAGTTAAATATAATTAAGCTTAGTTAAAAAAAAGATACACACGAACCGTTTTTACTTTGAAAATCAGACTTGAGCATTTATACGAGTATCAAGGCGGGTTCAATAGTGATGGGACCCCTCACTGATACGTCTCTGTCTGCCTATTAATAAAAAAATTTGTTCAAGTGTGTATTTAAAAAAACCAAAAAATCTATTTACAAAAAAACATATGCGTTCCATACTTTACTAGTTTTGAGTATATACAATCAATGATATGATTTAGTATGAGCAGCTCTCAGATATTCTGTGGGAAAGTAAATTATTAACAATAATATAAAAATGTGTCTCGATTTCGAATAAGGTAATTCTCTCAGACTTGCTGAATTGTTAATCAATCATAATTTGGGCGTTGAAGTCGTACGATCTTAGAACAAATAAATTCATTCGTAAATATTGTTAGTAAATAATTTAATTTACTACTTTCAATTTATTTGAATAAGGATATATTCAATTAAAAATTAATGGAAGTGAAGGATATTGTTAGGAGTTAAAAAGAGTAACTACTCTCCTTAATTTAACGTATGCATTTATATTTGGCTGTGATAATTTCATATTAAGAATTTTTAATTGAAACTCGAAACGTATTTTTGTGATAAATAAGATAAAATATTTCGAAAAAATAAAAATATTATTAATTTTAATTAAAAAAAATAAAATTGATAAAAGTAATTAAATGAATAGTATAATAAAAAATAAAATGTTTAACAAACAAATAAAAAGTCTATCAAAGCACTTGTTTCGAAAATATGGTCTTCGAAGTGCCAACCCGACAATTCAATTGATGCGATGGTGAGTGTGTTAAGGAGTATCCTTTTATTAATTCTATTTAAATTTGAAAATAAAAGAATTTTATTTAAAAAAAATTTTAAAAAATAATTAATAAAGAAATACTTAGCATAAATCTGTGAAAAATTTTTTAGTATAAAAAAGTTGAATAGCAAAATATTACTTTGGAACTGGCCATAGAAATATTCAGATAATGAGATACATTTATTGTCGTACTTATTATTTAATTAAAATATTTATAATAACATTACTTATATACTAATTAATAATAATTTGGATTAAAATATATATTTTGTAAATGTTTTGAATTTTATATACTTGACAAGGAACACAAAATCATGTTTAACAAATATATACACACGTATTCTTATAAATTAATGTTTGTACAAAAAGTATTCGGCGTTTTTTTTTAGATGCTTGATTTTAAAGCGCAATACCTTTGATGTATAGTAATTGTTTGATATATGACAATTAAATTGATTACTAGAGAATATTTTATTAAGATTAAAATCTTGTATTAAAAATGAAGCAAAGAGTATTAAAAAAAAAATGCATTCATTTTACAATTCGGCAACAAATATCAAATATAGGAAATATGTGGAACGCGGTACAGTTTTATAAAAATATATTCATAGTAAAGTAAAATTTGATTAATATATAAAATAGGCTTTTTGTTCTTATCAGGTTATAACGGCTGATGAGGTATTTGAATATATATAGGGCAAAGGTATACTAATGCAATTTCCTATATGGAAATGGTTCTCATGTTTTCGGTTTGAAGATTTATATATTAAGTAGGCTTCTTGTTCTTATCAGCCTATCACGGCTTAGTTACATGAGTGTATATATATATATATATATATATATATATATATATATATATGGCAAAGACACACTAATGCAATTCCTTAGAAGGAAATGGTTCCTATGCCTTAGCATGGAAAATAAAAAATGAAATATTATCCCCAAATCTATTAGTTTGTCGCCGTTTAAAAATTTATGTATGCAGTTCGAGAAAATCGGCATGTGAGCTTTGATAGATATTTAATGGATTTATTTTCCATTTGCGAATCAGTGTTGAAACAGCATATTGAGGCTTTTTCGAAGCGTATAATAAAAGGTGCTGAAATATAATACATAATATTTTACATATATGAAAACTATTCTATTTAAAAGAGTATGACGAGCGTTAAAGCTGATATTAAGAACTGTCAATTGTTTGATGGAATCGCAAAAGTATCATCTACTGCAAGAAATTATCGTTTGGCCAAACTGATGATTTTAAATTATAAGTTCCCCGAACTAAAACTTTTATTAACTTTTAAAATTGAGCATCCAATGAAATAAATGGTCAATACAAAAATATGACTCTGGAGAAATCTCTAGAGTGTTATAGTTTCTATTTCTACATCTAAGCACGCAATAGAAACGAACGTGTTATAATGTAAGAGAATAATGTATATGTATATATTAAAAGCAATTAAAACGTGTTTAGACCTGTTCTTATGAATAATTACTTTTAATTTTATTGCTTAGAGGGTCATAATTTTTTATCACAAAAATATTTTAGTATTTAATATGTACTATATATTAAATATTTATATTTCCATATACAGATATACATACTAACATATATATCGTGTTTCTTTCATTAATAAATTGCAATGAATGACGGACATTATTCCGTAATCACTAAGAGACGAAAAAAAATCGTATGAATAGGTCCATACAGGCAACAAAGAAAAGTAGACCCTTAACAACCTGCATTTAAATTTTAAAGTGAATTACCTGACGTTTTTAGAACAGAAACTAACAAATTAAAATATAATTTGAGAGTACTTATAAATAAAGTTTTTTGTTTTTGCTGAAAGCGTAATGGCAACTCAACTCAGACGTCGGCCCTTACAGCCGGTAAACGTTTTATGTTAGATGATATAATAGAAACGAACAATAAAAATTAGCATACCCTGTATAGAAATATAAATTTGAAATATATTACAACTCTTACTGATAAGATACAATAGATTATATTACTAAGTTATGTCATTATTTTATTGAAATATTTGAAATGCCTCTATTAAAAAGGGGTACTTCAGAAGGGCTTTGACCTTGAACTTTCTAATTAAACTTTCATAAGTATTGTTGAGTATGTTGTGAATTAAATTACCTTGATTTAGGTATATTTTTGAAATCGCATTTTATAGATTACAATAGAATACGTCTAAGCAAAAATGTAAACAATAATATATTCATATAATATTTTATTCAATGAATTAAAAAAAAAAAGTGTTATGTTAATATGTTTATATTACTATATACATTTAATTATACATTATATGTAAACTAATATATATAATAACCAAAATTGGATATTTGAACTTTATTTACATATTTAAAATCTCAGCATTTTAAAATATTTTTCTATTACGTTTACACTTAGACTTACCGAACCTCTTTAGCATATTTTCATATAGATTTTGTATCGATTTTGTATGAAAAATAACACATTTTGCTGAATATTTTGAGTTAAGACCAATAATCTAAACACAGCAGTAAATAGATTTTTTAATTGTAATTGGATATATATTAATTCTTATTTATTAATATCATTGGATGGTGTTATGTATATATAAATTATATAAATTGATTATATTTAAATATTTCATAAAATTACATCCTACACAAATATAAATATTGCTAGCAATAATAATATAATATTATTACAAAATAAAAAATAATTTATTTAATGAGAGATTTTTTTTGAATATATTTTATTATTAAATTAATAATAATATTAATAATGAAATATATTTCCACTAATATCTATTTGAATATGAATAATATATTAATATTATTAATATTATATTAATATATATTAATAAATATTAATAAGTATATTAATTAAAAAATGTAAGTTCTATGACAAGAAATCCATTTCTCGTAGAAAATGCGTTAAAAGCTATTAATAAATATGCAAAAAATCTATAAATATTTAAAATTAAAAAATTTAAACACCAATTAAATGTTTTATGAAAACTATTTAATATAAAAAATTTTTCCATAAAATATTATAACTCTTAATTTTTTTATATACAATTATTTACAAACATATATATATATAATTATAACACAGCTCTTAATTTTTTATATACAATTATATACAAGCATATATATATACATATATAATTATAATATAAATAAACTTTGATAATGTGATAAAAATATTAAAGTATTATAACTTGTTAGTAAACAATATTTTTTTTAAATTATTCAATAATGTATTTTATCATGGAAAATTATAAAAATATACTTTATCTATAATTGAATGTCAAGTCTAAATCAAGTACAAGTGTATTTAAAGTAGTAACACTTAAACACTAATATACTCTTTAGAAGCAAAGAATTATAGCAGCTCTCTCTCTCTTCTCTAATATAACATTTTTCAATGATAGTCACGCATATATCAGATCAAAACTAGTTCTATATTGTGTTCAATCTCCGCACGAGTTCAGGCGACACCAGTATCATTATTATACTGGGACATCATGATCATAACAACTGTATACCAGACAAAGCCATTCTACATCACCTATTCTTCAGCTATATACATACTAATCAATATATGAAAATCTATAATATACTGTTCGTTTTTAAAAAAACTGTCTATCTATCTGTCAATATATTTGTCAATGTATCTATCTAGCATTATCAGACAGATAAAATAGCATTCGACTGAAGTCGGCAATATACGTATTATCTCCTTTTTAATCGGTTATTACCTTATAGACCTTATAGGTATGCAGAATAATTTTAATTTTAACCTAACAAATTTTGCTGTCTCTGCTAAGAGAAAAAAGAAAGTTCGTTATGCTCTCACCAATTCTACAGATTTACAACCCTTGCAAGAAGCAAGTCCACATTTCTTGTAAAAACAAAAATTTTTTAAAGCCACAATAGAAACTCTTGAATTAGTAGTATATGTAGAACAGATATTTTGTTTTCATATGTGTAGGAATAGTAAATAACTACGAAACTTATCTTTAAATCGAATTTATAATATTAGAAAGCTATATTCTTTAAACTAAAACTATAAATATATTTTAATAATCAATCTAATAAAAATTATTAATTAATTTTTTTATAACAAAATCATTTGATCTGTTCCAAAATCTAAGCATTATTATTATTATTTGCTTTCATCTAAGCAAATAATAATGGCACTAATAAAATTAATTTAAACTCATAAAAAAAGTGATGTAATAAACTTTTTCAGATTTTTTGAATAAAATCATTTCATTTCAATATAATATTAGATAAGTTTGTTTATTATGTGAGCAGATGAGTATTTTCATATAAAGAAAATTTTCATACAAATGCACAGACACAAACAAATTTTTATAATAGACAAAACAACATCACTGTTGTTGCAAAATTGTTTTTTTTTCTTCTGATTCTTGTATAGTTGTAAATATTTTCTGTATGATTATATCATATTATGAAATAAAAAAATTAAATCAAAATGTCTCGTAAGGCTGGAAAATTCTAAAGAAACCTTTATATAAACATTTTTAACTTTGAAAGCACCTCCTAAGAGGCGCTTTTAGTGGGTTGAAATCTTATGCTATGGCTTTCTATGCTTTCCACCTATTGCAAAAAAAAAACAATTTATGTACAAACAAAATAAATTCAAATGAAATATGTTAAAAAATTAACATATAGTAAATATTTAGTGTCTATAAAATCTTCTATATTATACCCAAAAATCTATATTATGAATCGTCTATACTATTCTATAGATGTGTAGTTCGATAGTTCAAATATAAGTCTTTTTTAGTATTAAATATACTAAACTTACAATATATATTACATATATACAATATTTTAGTATCAAATGTGATATTTATATACAGATATAGTTATATATATATGATAGTTATATATATATATGATGTTTGTTTTATTGATAACTGTAATAAATGTTGATAATGTTTCCCTAACTACTAAGAGACCGAAAAAATTGTAAGAAAGAAGAGTGATTTCTGTGATTTTCACGACTCTTCTATAAACAGAATGCCGGAATATCGAAAATATAGTATAATTTTTCATTAGTTTAGAAAAATTAAAAAATTCTTACTGGTACATCTCAATTATTATTATTTCACTGTTAAGTGTCAAGGGACTTAATAGAAGCATATAGCGGAAAAATTATTAATCTATCTGTTAATCTGTTGAGCAAGGTTCTTATTGCAATCTCTTTTTACGATCAATATTGCGAATATTTTGTGTGAATAGATTATAATCAAATACTATGATAGTGACCACCAGGTCTACTAAATCTTTTAGCTATACCTTGTCTACGCAATACATGATATTGTATTGTGTACCAGGTTATTTCATATCTAAGATATATGTAAATCTTGTAATGTGGTTTTATTTATTTTACATTATTGCCATATTTAATATAATCTCTATATAAATACCATATATATTTAAAGATAAAATATGCTATATAAAAATATTCAAATTCAAATTTTGTTTATTTTGAATTAAATGGGTTTATTTTTTATAAACTTCTGAGGCAATTATTATTTGTGGAGATAAAAACAAACTTTAAATAATTTCATGATAACCAAGTTTATCTTAAAAAAATTATCAGTATTCATTTATTAATTTATTATGCATTGCTTAAAATATTTTAATTGTTCAGATAAAATTTTATTGGCTTTTGTTTAAACTTAGAAATGATCAATATTCTTTTCGTTATCTTTGTAAGAAACAGATTTTGATTTTTAATAAACTAATTATAATACAGCTGATATATATAATTAAATAATTATATAATTATTTAAGTTCATGTTTCTAATAATTATTTTTTATTTTTTGACCTTCAACTGAAAAAACAGAATCTTTAATTTAATTTAAAATATTTCAGAGTTGAGCAAATTATTTTCTCTTACATGTGTAAGTAAAGTTATTTAAATATTAATTAAGCAAAGTTTTTGAAATAATTAATTAATAAATTCATTGAATTTTATTTACATAAATGACCTTAACACTAATATGCTATAAATATTTTAAGTCGAAACATGATACTGAGTTTACACATATACATATTATTATAGAATATTCAAAGAATAATAGTTAAGTTTTAAAAAAAATCTTATTCTGTTCACTAGTAATATTAAAATAATTCAATAATTATTCAATAATTATATATATTTTCTCAAACATTATTCTTAATCTGTAAATTTGATTTATTATTATACATTGTATTTAATTTTTATATAAGTGAATAATAAATAAATTTAAAAATCATATAATAGGATCGTGAAAAAAAATATATTATACTAAAATACAATATGTAAGTCATATTAAAAAATTATAATATATATAAAATATACATACACAAAAATTTAATTTACATTTAAATTAATTAACAAAGAAAAAATGCTATAAAAAATAATGAACTTTTTCAAAAACGACAATTGAAATAACTGAAAAAAAGCAGGAAATGTACATTTCTCTAGTTGAGAATAGTTGTCCTTTTCAGACATGTGTTGTCCTTGACGGCGCCAAGAAATCTCCGCTAGCCAGCTTGACCAGAGGCTAACTATTGCTAATAGATTCTATCAAATATTTCAAATTATTTGATAGTTATTCCTTTTACTGAAAATGTGGACATTATCGCGTTGTCTACCAGTATAGTAGAGACCGGGTCAATAACCTTTAAAGTTAAAGTGTTTTAATTCATTCGTACGTTAGTTACGAAACTAAGTCAGCTTAGTTTCTGAATTCCGTCATTGTTGTGAAATAGCTGATCGTTTCGTCTGATTCAATATTCGTTACCAAACATACGTGGTCATAGATTTCATAAAAAATTTGGTCTTTAGTGTTCCAAATGTCTTTTCATAGGTCTTCGTTATTGTCCATTATTTTATATCATTTAGCTTGATGAACATGATAATAAATTTGTAGATCGTGGTTCTTATTTTTAGAGAGAGAACTTAATTTTTAATTTGTATACTTAGAATAAAGTAGCATCTTTTGGCAAGAGTTATCTTTTCAATTGTACATTTTTTTTATAATTTCTATTAAACTCCATAGTCAAACTGTAGTGTCTGGGAAATCGAAATTCCACCAAATATTTCTTAAGTGTCACTTGCTCAATGAATTAGAATGCACTCATATTTATACAGTTTATATAGAATATAAAGTTTGCAACGTAGTGAACGTTGTAAATATTAAGTAAAAAAAATTCACTCCCACATGGGTGTGTGCATTTATTTATTTATTTATTTAATCATAAGAATGTGCAATTTATTCGATGTAATCATAATATAATTAAACAAACTATTGTTAAACATCTTGAATATATATTTAAAAAAAATTTTTTTTGTTTGTAAGAATATACAGTCAAATTTATGATCTCAATGACCGCTGATAATTTTGATGTTCATAGCACATTATGCTGAGTAGTAATAACGATAATAATAAAAATAAAATGTTAAAAAATATATTATTATCAGTCAAAGACAATTATTTGCATTTTTGAAAATATAATAATATTTTTTTTTAATTTACATATTATATATACAATCTATATAGTTAAATGCAAGTCATGCTTAAATGTATTTTATTTAGACTAATTAATTGATCAAGTAATGATGACTATATTTTTTTTTAAGTCTATTTGTTGTATTAATCATTATTTTATTATTTTTAAGTTTATTACAAAGCATTCAGAAATCACAAAATATTTTTTATTAATACTAAACACACTGCAAAAAAGTAATTCTTTCTAAGTAAAACATTTTTTATATATCGATTTTAAATTTCGTAAATATTTTTTTTTAACCATTCATAATTAATAAGCAATAAGTAATTGCTAAATGGAATAGTTTAATCAGTGCTATTTATTCTTCTTCTCTACTAGATCCCTTTTTTTGCCCTTGCGGTGTTGGGCTGGCCTCCTAAAAATTCTTTTATTATTTTAACTTCTGCTCTATTGTTGTGATTTTGCCATTACTTAGCCTTTTCTAATCGCTGGTATCTTTTCTTTTTTTGAAAGTTTTGAGCCCCGCATAGGTTTCTTTATTGCTAGTTTAACTTCTAAAGATTTCAATTTTCAAATTTAAATTGGATATATAAATACCAAATATATCTAAATCAAACAGGAACGCTAATTACTGGACTCGAGTTAGGTTAGTCTAGGCAGTTAAGAAAACACTGTTTTCTTTTTAGGGAATTCTTGGTTCCAGAGAGTGGTCAACTTTGCAGAGGACTGAATCTTCAAAATATCACAATGGTGTAGTAAAAGTTTATAGTACATTACAGAGATAAGCACACTAAAAATAACTTTGACGGAAAGGATTGTAAAAGATTTCGACTGACATTTAAGTCGCTAGTAGATACTTGTCAATGGATGTAGGTTCAGCCATGAAGTAGACAGTTTTATTAAATTCAAAATCGTAGATATAAAAATGTCGGATAAATTGCTTCTAGTAAATTTGTTTGATTTGGTAGTTCTGATGAAAGACGTTTTTTACAGTTAAATATGCCTAAATGTTACATTCGAGATTGCACATTTAATGTAGGCCACCACAAATCAGATATGATAACTACCAATATGAAATAATATTCTACCATCATATACCTATGTTGATATGGTTTGTTTGGAATGCACATACACATAAAGTAATAAACTGATTATGTCTAGATGTCTATTGTATATATTATACTTTATTTATTACTTCAGAAAATCATATAATTATATATGAAATGTTTTTCATCTATTTTAGTTTATCATCGGTGCATATAAAACCAAGCTATGCGCAGACATCTGAAGCTTATGCCAAACCAAGTTACATACATAATCCCGGAAAAGACGCTTTAATTTATCACGCTATAGGCCAAGAGCTTGAACGTGCGGTTAGTATTTATGGTAGTAATGAGGCTATTGTTTCCTGTCATGAGAATAAACGGCACACATTCCGCACTCTACTTGACAATGTCGATAGGGTTGCAGCAGGCTTCTTAAAAATGGGCCTTAAACGGGGTGATCACGTTGGTATTTGGGGTCCCAACAGTATGCAATGGTATTTGACTATGCTTGGTGCAGCTAGAGCAGGACTTATTTCGGTTGGATTAAATCCTGCATTCCAAGCACCTGAAATTGATTACTGCTTGAAGAAAGTCAATGTGAAGGCAGTTGTAATTCCCGAAACATATAAGACACAAAATTTTTATGAAATACTTAAAAGCATTTGCCCAGAGCTACCACATAGTGAAGCTGGTAAAATTAAAAGTCAAAATCTACCACATTTACAAGCCGTCATTATTGAAGGTAAAACAAAATTGAAAGGAGCCTTCAGCTTTGATGAAATATTAGATTTGCCCTCAACTTCGGAACAACAACAGATTTCTACACTTCAAAAATTAATAATGCCTTGCTCACCATGTAATGTGCAATTTACATCGGGTACAACTGGACAACCCAAGGCGGCCACTTTAACGCACTACAACTTCGTAAATAATGGCATACACATCGGTAATCGAAATAAATTGGAAAATGCACGTATTTGTGTACAAGTACCTTTATTCCATGCCTTTGGAGTAGTTATTAGCATAATGGCAGCTCTTAGCAAAGGCGCAACATTGGTAATGCCTGCAGCTGGTTTTAATCCTGAAGAGTCATTACGTGCAGTTATAAAAGAAAAATGTACTGTGATACATGGCACGCCCACAATGTATGTTGATCTCATAAAGAAACAAAGTGAACTAAAATTGCCTTTAAATACACTTAAAATGGCAGTCACTGGAGGTGCTATTTGTTCCCCACAATTATTCCTAAACATAAAAAATGAGCTTGGTGTGGAACAGGTGCGTACGGTTTTTGGTATGACTGAATGCTCAGCAGTTATATTCCAGTCACGAGAAGGTGACACTATGGAACAAGTCCTAAACACTGTTGGCTATATACAGGATCATGTAGAGGCCAAAGTTATTGATAAAGAAGGTCATACTGTGCCATTTGGAGAGCCCGGTGAATTATGTGTAAGGGGTTATGTTACAATGTTGGGATATCATGGCGAAGAGGGAAAAACCAAAGAAGTGCTAGGTCCTTGCAAATGGTTACGTACAGGGTAAAAGAAAAATCTCTTTAATTATTGAATGTTTTAATCTATAAGAATATTTTAATTTTTAGAGATCAATTTGTGCTACAGGAAGATGGATATGGCCGCATTGTGGGACGCTTGAAAGAAATGATTATACGTGGTGGAGAAAATATATTCCCGAAAGAAGTAGAAGATTTTCTTAATACTCATCCACAGATTATTGAAAATCATGTAAGTTTCATTTAAGAAATTATACATATTTTTATATTCTATAGGTTTGCTAGTTGTTTGAAATTTTTGGTTAAATAAAAAGTCTATTTTTAATGTTAAATAATTCTAACTTTAGCAGTATTTTTTGATCAGTTTAAAAGTGAGAGATATGGTAAATTAAAGTAAAGCATCGAATAGTCGAGAATAAATAAGTTAATATCTCTAGGAATAAACCATATATAATTTCAACTTATTAAAAAAAATAAGTTTTTAAAAATAATATAAAAGTCTTGAATCCAATTTTGATCAAACCATTTTGTAGATCTATATGGTATATACATATATATAAAGAAGATAGGATAAGTCATTTGTCGAATTTTTAAGAAAATCTACAATCCGTTTTAAAAAAAATATTGGAAATAATGAAGTATTGAATAGTGTACATTTTTCAAATACAGATAATCATTTAGTTAATATAAACCTTTTTCATTTACATTCCAGGTAATTGGTGTACCAGATGAGCGTATGGGTGAAGAGCTCTGCGTATTTGTCCGCTTAGAAGATGGAGTAGAAAATTTAACACGTAAGGAATTGAAAGAATATTGCAAAGGGAAGTTATCACACTATAAGGTGCCACGATATGTTGTACCAGTGAAAGAGTTTCCAAAAACTACATCCGGAAAAATACAAAAATTCAAACTTCTAGAATTATTTAAACAGTTAAATGCTTAGTATTTCTACTTTATAAAAAAAACATTATTTGTTCTAAAATAAAATAAAATAAAATATTTTATACTATTAAATAAATGTAAAAAAAACAGATACACAGAGGCATTTTCTTAAATTTTAAGTAAGAAATTATAAGAAATGTATACTAATTTTATTATTAAGGTCGTGTGCGAGTTCGAGTAAATTGATGGTAAATTGTGAGAAATAGTAAATTATGTCGGTATAGCAGCGAATGTTGGAATTTATTATAATTTCGAGTAGGGTAAATTAGATAAAAATTAGGTAAATCAGGTTTTACCATTGTAAAAATTTTAGAAGATGTTCGATAAATAAATTAATAAATTTAAAAACTTTTAACCAAAAATAATAAATAAATGCAATAAATAAATAAATAAACATTTATATAAGTAAATATATAAATCCCTAGGAAATTTTAATTTACTTAATCTCAATTTACTCGAACTCGCACAAGGGCTAAATTTCTTTCCAAAAAATCTACAGTAAAACATAATATATAAAAACTTCTGATGTGAAATAAATCAAATAATATAATTTAATAAATTTTAATAAAGGATATGTATAATACTTAAAATTAAGAATAAGATTTATGAGTATATCACAGTTTTTTAAATTTTTTTGTTAGTAAAACTTAAGTTTAATATTATTAATCACTAAGAGCCTCAGTAACATCTTAAGATTTTATAGAACCAGGAACAAAACATCTTCAAATTTCTAAGTATGTAAGTCAAGAAATACTTCACAATTTACCACTGGTATTGATCTTCTTTTTAGTAAATAGCGAACTTTCGATGAGGAGAATGGACATTACTTTGTCGCCAATATTCACTAGAGACTCTGAAACATATGGTGATCGAATCAGATTATTTTTCAAATAGGTCTGTTTGTGAATGAACAATTAACCGAAATTGACTACATATAATAATAATAAATAATAATAATAAACACTAGTAATTATCCATTAAGTGATTATGGTTTGACTGCTGTATTTCAGTATCATATATAAAACAGAAGTGTCATCCAAGGCATTAACCATATGTTTAGTTTGAGGTTCGCCATTAGATAATGTGTATCGTTTAACAACAGGTGAACGTGTAAAAACTTACTATAAATAAGTTGACGATTCCTTACATCGATTTTTCGTCAGTGAAGAAGTTCAGTTTTTGCTTAGTGTATATATCAATGCCAATGAAAACATTGCAAGTGAAGATCCAAATGGTCTTTAAACTTACGTTTTCAGAATTTTATGACCAGGTATGGTTTAAGAAGACAAATAAAATTGACACATCTAGGGCAATAAAGCAATGAAATTCTAGAAGTATGTTAACTGTCGAAAGACTATTTATCCATAAAAAATCACACAATGTTGTGTGATTTAGTCTGAAGGTATGACAGGTCCTATCACATTTTTTTTCAAAATTACGAAAGCCTGTTATAAAGCGGTTATGATTACTGATCTTTCTATCGTAAATTTGGAGATGTGGGTGTGAAAAATATGCAGTTTTAAGAGAACGGTGCCGTAATCCACACAAAGTGCTCTGTTTTGATATTGTTGAACGAGAAATATCCAAGTGAGTAACTTCCTTTTTTAGTGATCTGAATTGGCTACTAAGATTGTGCGATCTGCCATTATTTGACATTTTTTGGTGAAGTTGCTTAAAAGATTGTGTAAATGTGCTATGGCCAAGTAATTAACAGCTACGTGCTGGGTAGGTATTAAACATTTTCACAATAGAACCCATTACTCCATAATGTTCCCCAGATTTCATTGGAAAGATATTGTTTAAATAAAGTTCAAATAATATATTGAAATAAGCGTAAACACTGAACCTTTGTCACAAATGTGTTTTATTTGCGATTATTGTTGGAACTATAAAATGGATAAGCCATTTTATGGTTATATATATAACCATAAAATAGTTTATATATATTATAATGATATATATTTTTTTACATCAAAAAACATATTTAATTAAATGTTTAATAATTTTTAAAGAATAATAGATTTGAAGCAAAATTATCAGAGTAATTTTATCACTAAAGCCTTAGCAAAGTCATATCCAAAAATTTATTTTCTTTTAATTAATTAAAATATTAATTTTTTTATTCTGAAGTGAATATCTCTAATAGGTTTATTAACCTGGTTTGTTTTCTTTGGCTTATATTAATAACTAAATAAAAGTTGGTTAATATTAATAATTAAAATAATAGTTCTGCATTATATTACAGTAAAAATTTGATCGGTTGCAAGCAATTTCATTTCGTATCCAAAAATACCATTCAATGGATTTGTTGAAGGTTATCCCGCTGACGTTGTCATAGCAGAGGCTGGCTCTGTAGGCTCTGTGTGGTCAGGTGTATCAGAATTTAGTGAATGTGATACTGTTGTAAACCCGAAAATACTTCTGATAGTATCAATTTTATGCCTGATGATTGAATCAAAAAACAATGCTTCTGTATGGCAAGAATTTGATAAAAAAATTATCAAAACAGCTGCTGTAGTAGTAAGAAAAACAAATACAAAATAAATTTAATATATATAAATAATGTTTATATTTAAATAATATAATTACAAAGTATTAGTTTATATCAGATATTTTTACCTAAAGACGTAATCAATACAAATTTCATTTTTAGATTTTTAAGCAAAAATCTGTAGAATCCGTTCCTACTGAATAGTCGTCTGGAACAAGTTGTCAATAAATTTTCTTCGCATTTTATAGGAAAAATTTTGAAAAATTAAAAAACAACAACCAAAAATTAAATGCAACATCATGAACTAAACGTAAATATTATTATATATAAGGGTTTATTTTATTTTGGCATATAAATTAATGCTCTCTGACTATGAATAATTTCAGGTTTAAAGAGTTTCACAATTAAAATAAAAAATATATTTTTTATAGTTTTTTGTATATTACATAATTTATATTGCTATTTAATTATAATTTCAAAAATTGTAACAATTACATGAGTACGTTAAAATGCATGAAATAAATTTAAATAAAATTAGTTGAAAAATTTTGTAAGTAATTTATATATTATTAAAAAAATATTAGAAAAAATTATATATAATGCCTTAAAAAACGGGTTAAGAGGGTTATGCTTAAATAGTAGGTCTTGAAAAGCAATTTGTGTAAAACACTATATATAAATGTATATAAATATCTATATAAATCGAGTTACTGAACTATATCGCACAAAGAGACTTTTATAAATATAATTTAATATTATTTTAATTAATTGAATTTTTGGCTGACCATATAGCTGTTTCGAGTATTGCCAAATACCAATCATCAGTGGTCTCAGAAATAATTCTTGTATTTAATTATTCGTAAATAATTTTTTGAGACTTCAAGTACCAGGAATCGAACTCTGTCAAATTTGAAGCTCAGAGTCAACACTCCTTAATCAACTGACCCAAAGCCGTACTTGATTTTTATGTTCACACATCTTTCTGGAGTTCTGTTAATTTGCTGTCAATGATTTATTAACAAATTCACTTGCTATGTTTATATTAGAATGAAATCATAAACCAGCTGAATTGAATTAGTTAATTATATTTTATTTTTTAATTATTAAATTTCTACTTTATTCTGTTTATATGCGCATTATTAGTTGTGTGATTTATGTATTCTTTCTTATGTATAGAACCTAATCTAGGAACGTAATACAGAGAAAGTCATGCTATTGTTACTCCACGATTATTTCCAAGATGATGCTGTTATTTGGCAATACTCGAAACAGCTGTATGGTCAGACAAAAATTCAAATAATTAAAATAATTTAAAATGACTTTTTGTTGTTGTAGTTCACTACTAACTGAAAAAAAAACTCTTTATAAATATAATTATAATATTAAAATTATATCTTATAATTAGTTATAATAATATTATTATATATAATTATTATATAATATCAAAATTATATCTTATAACTAATTATAATAATATTATTATAATAATTATTATATTAGATGTATTCTTTTGACATTAACTCTCCAATAGAACAACTTCTGCTTGCTTAAGAATAACTTCATCACTGCTTAAGTCACAAAGACAGTTTATTATTATAAATAATTATAATAAATATTTATAATTAATTCTTATTAAGACCAATTTACAATAAGTTTTTTGCTTATTACTGGGCTTAAGTTGTTGATTTAACACATAAAATTATAAAACATTTATTTTTTTCAAAAAAATTACATTTATTAATTTGTGTTAATTGTTTTAATTTTAATAAAAAACTTATTTACATTACAGATATTTCCGACCATCTTCAGTGTTCTATTTTTGATCTCGTAGACCATCTGATTGTACGGAGTAGACCAAAATATCTTTAATGTAAATTATTGTTTTTGATAATAATAATATGCTATATAGTATCAAGAATGAGAATGTGTGGATTGTGTTCTTTTGCTAAAGCAAATTGTTGTTGTGAAAAATTGTTGTCAAAAATTGAAGAGCGATATCTTATAGTATTTATTATTTTGGCTTTGGGTTATTTATAAATAAAATAAAATATATATTAAAATATTTTTTTGTAGGTTTTTATGCAAATAAATATTTTCTTAACGTTTTTACAAATTATAATAAATTGTTTTTATTTATAAAAATATACAAAAATATTGCATTGTTTTATTATAAGTTTTCATAATGAATAATAATAATTTTTATAATAATTATAAATTTTTAATGAATTAAAATAATTGTAAGAAGTGTTTTTATCTAGCTTTTGAAATTTTTAAGTTTTCAAAGTTAAGGTAATAATATATATAGAAGGATTGTATAGGAATAAATTAATTAATTTTTATTTAACATTAAAGAAGTTTTATTTAATTGAGATACTTTACTAAAAAGCATAGTCGTGTGAAAATCGACAAAGTTTAACATAAGGTTTAAGGTTTAAATTCAAATATATTTTTATATATATTTATGTTCATGAATCTTTATTAATAAATATTAGAACTTACATAAAATATTTAGTAAAACAAATAGATAACTGTTTCAATATGAAT